AGAGCCTTTTTCAGTTTGAACACGTGATTTGGATACTCAAAGTCCTCAAATCCCGGAGGTTGTTCGACATACACTTCTTCTTGAATGAAACCATTCAAGAAAGCACTCTTGACATCCATTTGGTACAGTTTAAAATTCATAGTAGCGGCATACGCAAGTAGTAATCTAATGGCTTCTAATCTCGCTACAGGGGCATAAGTCTCATCAAAGTCTATACCTTCTTGTTGATTGTAGCCTTTAGCTACAAGCCTAGCTTTGTTTCTAGTGATAATACCATTTTCGTCGAGTTTGTTTCTAAATACCCATTTGGTGCCAATAATTGATTGATTACGTGGCCTAGGCACAAGTTCCCAAACGTCGTTACGTTTGAATTGATCCAACTCCTCTTGCATAGCCATAGTCCAGTATTCATCATTAATGGCATCATCAATGGTAGAAGGTTCTATTTGAGATACAAAAACCATATGATTAACTAAATTGCGTAATGAGCTACGAGTAGTTACCCCTTTGGAGATTTTCACTACGCCAAAAACAATATCAGATGGCTGTTGATTAACTACTGTGTATGAAAACACAGTAGTTAAAAAAACAGACTACTGTGAGTTTTTCTTGGCTACAGAACAGTAGTCTAGCTATGATGCTTTAAAACTATTTTTAAAGTTTCGAGAAACGTTAATCTATCACTAGTTGTCTGTGTCAGTTCAAAATACAGTTTTTGTTACAACAGTTGTGAATAACAAGTTAAAAATACTCTGTATAAACAGTAGTCTGGTGCTTTAGTCTAGAACTGTTTTTAAACTTATTAGAAACAGTTATCTATTGCTAGTTGTGTGTTTCATATGGTTTTTTTGCCACTGTAGTTTCTAATGGGAATAGAATACTCTTTTGTAACAGTAGTCTATAAATTAAGGGTAGAACTGTTTTTAAAGTTGTGAGAAACAGTAATCTTTTATTAGTAGTCCGTTTCATCTAAAAATACAGTTTTTGTTTCCACAGTTGTCAATAATTAGTTAAGACTACTATTTCTAATCAGTAGTCTGGTTTTTCAGTTTATAACTATTTTTAAACTCATAAGAAATAGTATTATATTGTAAGTTGTATGTTTCATATGGTTTTGTTTTGCATAGTTGTTTATTATAAGAATAGAAAACTCCCTTGTAACAGTAGTATATTTATATAGTGTAGAACTATTTTTAAGGGTAAAATGTAAATTATTATTACCCATAATCAGAACAGTACATCAATGTCAAATGCCGAACCATAAGGATGGTTCCGTGCATATTTAAGACAACAAACATCAACAACAAACCCAAAAAGAATACAACAAGCGACATGCAAAACTTGGCACGCAGGCCATACAAAATAAAGAACCATCAAATAAACATCAATGTGATCACACTTTATCAAAGTAGACCACGTCCAGGCTCTTGCAGAATCCACTTCCAGCTTTTAGTACCATGCATCATCCCAGTAATAGTACAGTAGGCAAAACAAGGGCATGAAGGGAGAATATATTGGGGGTACGAGCATAGTCCTCCAATATATACTCCCTCCCCAATGATAAGGTTCGACAAACACTCTATCAAGATGCTCAACAAAAGTACCTCAAAATCAGGTTCAAAGTTCTTCATCCAAGCACATGCATCCAACAGAGGCGAGCACAATGTTAATCTTACCATAGTCACCACCAACCATCAGAAAGGTTGAGGCTTTCCACCGGCATGCCAAGGGGCCAATCACCGAGTGTCAGAAGTTGTCCACCGTCATCAAGGCAAACAACTTAAACTCCAAAGTGACCCGAGAGACACACACTCTGCCATACAAACCCCTCCCTAGGTCTATGGCCAGAGTCCCCCCAAGGTATTTGGCAAGTCTCCCCATAAAGACTACGCGCAAGTTCACTAGGTTGTCCCGTAAGCCTTCATCCACAATTGCCCTCGGTTTGAGTTCAGAAGCAAAACGTAGATAGGCAGGATCCAGCGAAAACAACCTCCCAAACCCAAGAAAAGAAACCCATTCAGCCACAAGATCCACTTGTTAGCCAAGATAACCCAAGCTCCTCCAAATACCCCAACCGAAAGGGTCAAGACGAGCATTAGGTAGCGTGCAAGCAGGACCAAAAAGGCAAAATACAACATAATAGCCAACCCCAATCGGATTGGTGTTACCTCCACCATGAGGCAAAACCGGGTAAAGAATCAGCTTCACTTTCGAACAAAAATCAGTCGTAAACAGCTCCAAAAATAGCGGAGAATACAAGCCAATACGCTGCCCAGGGACACCATAAAACTTCCAAATTGTTTCAGGTACACCATCGGCAAACCCACCCACAACAGGACTGCCCAAAAAAGCCCTCAAAGAAATGGCAGTAGCATTTTCCACTGTAAACTTCCACAGCGAGGAAGTGACGTTATCCAGCCCATGGTTCCAGCATCCTCTCCATCAATAGGACTTCTAGGACCAGCACCATGCCAAGCCCTGTCCCCAATCCTTAGTCACGCAGGAGAAAAACAGCAAGTATTACTGTCCATTCCAGCGAGTCAAAGTCCTTGTTGTTAGAGGCATATAAACCAGTAGTCAGTCTGGTTTTAAGCCATATACCAACTGCCGTCAAGTGTTAGGAAGATCCAATCCATAGCTTGCCTTCAATTCAGCAAACTCATCACCAAAAGTAGTGCAGTTTCTGCATTTCAGTAAGGTCAAAGGCAGCCCCAACCTAGCTTGTCAGAGGTTGAGTTCAGCCACTCCAGAAGGTTTCCAAAGATTGGCATTTTGAAACCAGTCCAAAGCTTAAATTGTAGTTCCAGCCCCACCAGTTATTTAACACAATGCATAGATTCAAAATCCTCCACGAAGCATGAACCAGAGCTCCAGGTTCACGCAATTAACACTTCAAACACAAGCAGTCAAGAATCATGTGCTCTGGGCAGATTTGGGCATTTCCCAGCCCCAACAGCCTACTCATACAGTTCTTCCATGGCTTCAGGTCCTCCTCAACAAAAAACACCCACAAAAACCAACACAAGACCCCATGGTTCCAAAGTCAGGAGCATGGTTCAACCCAAAACAAGAGAAAGAGCAGAATGGAATATCAACCACAAAAACAAATTCACAACAGCAAAAACATCCACAAGAATCAACTGACCAAGACGAAGCAAGAACCAGTGAATTCCAGCTCCAATGTCACGCAGTGAACAGTGATTTCGCAACCTCAAAAATCCTCAAATCATATGGAAATTCAAATGTTTGTTGAATCAACCTTCATACCTTGCGCGAGAATGTCAGAACGCTAAGAATCTCAAAAATCTAGCCATCATGGGTGTCTTGGTCGAAGTGAATCACAAAATCAAAAGCTTTAATGCTGATCATCACTGTATACATCTTCAAGTTCATCGCTCTCAGCTTCATCATCTTTGTTCCATCGATCCTCATCATGACTTTTGTCAGTGGTCGTATTACCACCAGTTGTAAGGTCATCGATTTCAGATTGATTGGGTTTTGAACCCTATGCAAAAAAAGCACATGATAACGTAGTTACATATTTTGCACCAAATTTACCTTATACTCATACTAGGTGGCATAACTTTAAACTATATAATAAACTAAACAAAAATCAAATGAAATATATGGGTAGTTAACAGTAATAAATAGAGACTAACCAGGCTATTTAAAAGCAATGACACTACATCTTCTAAATTCTGGAGTCTCTCATTTGTTTCTTCATGCTCTTGTTCAATTTTCAATCTTTTTGCTTTCTCCTCCTTCAAGGCGCACCGTTTAGTACAAGATCGAGGCACTCTCACTCCCATACCAAAGGTCTTTGCATATCCATTTTTGTCTTCTCCCACTACCTTTTCAAAAACTTCACCACGAGCAGGTGCACCAACTTCTACATCTCTCAAAGCAAAGATTTATAAACTAGAATTCACGATTAAGCACATAGGCCTCTAGGAAACACAAAAATCAGCTTGAATATCAAGGAAAAATTGCACAGAATTTTTTAAATGACACTTATTAAGATCAGATTTTTCTTAAAATCGGCACTTTAAGCATCAAAAACATCAAACAAACATCATGAGATGCTTATAAATGTTGTCCCTAAGAAAGATATATCAATAGTATTCCATACTTCAAGCAACAAAGCACTCTAAAGGACCAAAAATCAGCATGAGTACTACAGATTTTTGAAAAATCAGCAAGTACAAATCAGTTTTTTTTTGCATATTTAGCTTTTAAATTATTCAAAACCAGCACTTTAAGCATCAAAAACATCATATAAACATCATGATGTGCTTATAAATGTTGTCCCTAAGAAAGAAATATCAATAATATTTCATACTTCAAGCAACGAAGCACTCTAAAGGACAAAAAAATCAGCATTAGTGCAGATTTCGGAAAAATCAGAAAGTACAAATCAGTTTTTTTTGGAATATTTAGCTTTTAAATGCTTCAAAATCAGGATACAATTCACACATAAGAAATCCATACATGTTATACTCATAAAAATATGAACAAATCAACTTTCTGGTATTATGCACATCAAAGTTACACACTTATCAATGCATACGGTAAAGGTCTTTGATAGGAGTGTATTTTAACATCAATGAAATACTCCGTACAATTTATATACTTCGTACGTTGAAACTTGTTCGTGTTAAACAACCAGGAAGTATAATGAATCAAAAACTATAAATAAACTACCTGGTGGTAATATGTAGGCATCCATGTAAGAATAATAAAATTTCCCCAATTGTGACAGAAGTGAGACACTATCAAAGCCCAATCAGGTGGTTTGGACAAAATTTGTCTCCATGGAATAGATTTTACAGCTTCTTTGGAAACACTGTTGCTAAGACGAAGAAGGTGAGGAAGTGTGGCCGACATACCTGATTAGGGTGTGACGATTGAAGAACACGCTCAGATGAAGGAGACGAAGAGGAGTTCCGAACTTCCGGCCGCGTCGTAGAGGAGTTCCGAACTTCCGAGCTTCCGAGATGACTATGTCCTGTTCTCGATCGATGAGTCTCTGTGGCCGGCGGACGATGTCCTGTTCTCGATCGATGAGTCTCTGTGGCCGGCGGTCGATGTCCTGTTCTCGATTGATGAGCCTCTGTGGCCGGCGGTTTTAGGATATTAGAATTAGGCACTAGTGGCGACTAGGGAGTATATTGAATGTATGTTTATGCAATTAAGTTTTATTATTATTATTATTATTATTATTATTATTATTATTATTATTATTATTTCCATCTACACCTTTACGGAAAGGTCTCGACGAGACACACAGGGGCCCGATCGGTCAAAGACCCATCGGGATCCATCTTCGACCCAAAATCTTGCTTTTTAGATCGATTATTTTTCACTTTTGTCTTTTTGGGTTTTTCCTACTTATTTATAGTTTTTTACTCTAAATTAAGATATTTAAATTAAATTTTAATATTACTAAAATCAATATCGACAGATAAAACTTTGTTGCTAAAACTATAAACAATACCGACAGAAAAATATTTGTTTCTAATACTATAAACAATACCGACAGATATATTTTTCTTGCTAATACTATTAACAATACGGACAGATAAAGTTTTGTCACTAAAACTATGAGCAATACCGACAGATAAAATTTTGTTGCTAAAAAGATAACCTATAACGACAGATATTACCCTTTGTGTAGATCAAATAGTTTTTGCCTTCAAATAATTTTATCTGTCGGTAATATTCACTTTTTAGCGACAAATAAGATTTCTGTCACTAAGGATCTGTCGGTAATGCCCTCTTTTTTTGTAGTGTAAGAACCTGCAACATTATCAACAATACCTTTTCTCGCCAAGCGAGCATCAAATTCATCAAAGACAACATGAATAGACTCCTCTACGGTCTTAGTACGCTTGTTGAACACTCTATATGCCTTACTACGAAGAGAATAACCTAAGAAAATTCCTTCATCCGACTTAGCATCAAATTTTCCCAAATTATCTTTTCCATTATTATGAATAAAAACTTTACATCCAATGCAAAGACATGAAAATAGGAAAGGTTAGGTTTTCTTCCTTTGTAAAGTTCGTAGGGCGTTTTCTTGAGTATCGGTCTAATGACGGCTCGGTTTAACACGTAGCACACGGTACTCACGGCATCCGCCCAAAAATATTTAGGAAGGTTAGTCTCATTGAGCATAGTTCTAGCCATCTCTTCAAGAGATCTATTTTTCCGTTCAACCACTCCATTTTGTTGTGGTGTACGGGGGGCCGAGAAGTTATGCTCGATGCCTAATTCGTCACATAAGGCGTCAAAGCCATCTTGATCGAATTCTCCCCCATGATCACTTCTAATGGATGAAATGTGACAATCTTTTTCATTTTGAACCAATTTGATAAATTTCTTAAAAACATTAAGTGCATCATACTTATGAGCAAGAAAAAGTGTCCATGTAAACCTTGAATAGTCATCAACGATAACAAAGCCAAAGTAATTACCTCCTAAACTCATAGTCCTTGAAGGTCCAAAAATGTCCATGTGCAAAAGTTGTAATGGCCTAGTCGTAGAAACAACGTTCTTTGACTTAAACGAGGCCCTTACTTGCTTCCCCTTTTGACATGAATCACAAATTAGATTCTTCTCAAACTTAAATTTAGGAACACCAATTACTAAGTCTTTAGAAACCAACTTATTAAGATGGTCCATATTAACGTGAGCTATCCGACAATGCCATAGCCACGTTTCTTCTTCTTTGGTAATGAGGCACTTAGCTTAGATAGACGGGGAATTTTCAAGATCAAACATGTAAATGTTATCTACTCTACTACCACAAAGAATAGTCGTATTGTCACACAAGCGTTCTACAATGCATTTACTAGAATCAAAGATGACACGGTTACCTCTATCGCACAATTGACTAATACTAAGAAGATTGTGCTTGAGGCCCTCAACAAGAAGAACGTGCCACTTCCAATGATCCTTCCTTTTTTTTTGTCACCAAAAACGACATTGCCACCTTTGAAATACTCTAAACTCCTAAATTTGGATGCGTCTCCGGTCATGTGCTTGGAGCATCCGCTATCGAGATACCAAGAGGTACTCGAAGCCATCAAGCACACCTACAAAAAGATATCAAGGAGACGGTTTAGGTACCCATGTATTGTTGGGTCCTTTTTGGTTAGCATATGTGTGATGTGTGTGCGTTTGTTGAAAATGCCTAATTTTAGTGAAGCACACGGGTGCAATGTGACCTATCTTATTACAATAATGGCAACTAACGTTTGGATTATTCATCCTATATGGTTGAGTGTAATGAGTTCTAGGTTTGCTAGGAGGTGCTCTTCTAGTTTGATTATTTGTCCTAGCATTTTTATTCCCCATAGCTTTAACAAATGTTGTTTTTCTAGGTTGGTTTTTCTTATATCCGAGTCCTTCACCATTACTAACTCTTTGCTTAAGTATTTTATCTAAGGTGTTTGAAGCATTATTAAACTTTTCCAATTTGCTCTCTAAACTAGCAACTTCAGCTTTTAATGAAGTACAACTAGAGCATGTAGTAGATGAAGTAGATCAAGGTTCTTGTGGCCTTTTTCCAAAAGAGATAATTTCTTGTTTTAGTTTATCATTTATATTTTTGAGTTCTTTGATATCATTCTCAAAAATCAGGATTTTTTGCTTTACTTCATTATTTTCTTTGGAAGCGTTTTTGAACATTCCTACTAAATCTTCTACAATGCACACAACATCATTAAGAGTTAAAGGATCATTAGGAGAAGGTTCTTGATCACTTACCTCTTTTGATGTTTCACCATCCTCAATGGCCATGAGACACAAGTTGGCCACTTCCTCCATTTCTGAGTCTTCACTCCCGGAGCCGTCATTTTCCCATGAAATGTAGGCACGTTGCTTCTTCGGTGCCCTCTTGTCCTTCTTGTTCTTGAGCTTCGGACACATTGGTTTGATGTGCCCAATTTCACCACACACATAGCACTTGAGTGGAGTGTTCTTCTTGGCTCCCTTCTTGAGCATCATCTTCTTAAATATTTGGACAAAGAGTCCGAGGTCGGTGTCGTCGATGTCATCATCTTCATCATCAACGTTGTTGTGGGTTCACGTTGTTGCGGGTAGAGCAATAGACCTTTTGATCCTCTCTTCAACCACCTTTTGAAGTTTAAATTTTGCACATAGAATCTGGATTTTGTTTCCCAACTAAGCTTCAAGTGTTATTATTTATAGAAGTTGGAAACAAAAGTTGGATTCTTAATTTTACACTCTTTTTTGGGGTGTTTTAAAGAAACACTTTTACTTCTCTTTACTACTTCATGGTTTATTTGAATATATGTTTGCAAGTAGTAAACTGTGTCTAGCCAAAGACTTTAAATCGGGCGGCTTATGGGAGCCAACCCACTTTCTTTTTAAGTTTTTTTTATTGTATTGTTCTTTGAAAAAGGGTTCTTTTACTTCTATCTTTTAGTTATTGTTGCACTTTTTCTCTTGTTTTTTTTCTAACATGACCCACTAACATTTGAAATCATTTTTTTTAATTTTTCTTTGAATTTCTTATGCTTACTTCTAACTTTAACATCTTTAACTTCTTGTTGTTGTACTTTTTTTTCCCTTTTGATGGTTAATATGGTTTTTATTCTCTTTCTTTTAATAACCAACTTACTTTTATTGTTTTTTTCCCTTCCATATTGATGTAATTGTATAGCATCATTTTTTCTTTAATTTTTGAAAAACCCAAAAAATATAATATTGAAAAAAAGTGTGTTGCTTGTTATTTGAGTTTAAATATTTTTTACTTCATTTAATACCCAAAAAATATAATATTTTTTACTTCCATACCTTTGAGTGAGAATGCAAGACTTGTTAAGTCATAGGTTGGAGCATCACTTCATGGAGTTAAGTCCGTGCAAATCTTGTTTTCAAATAGCGATTCTTGGTGCTCGGGTGTTGGTATGTTATTTAAGTTTCAGTTTTCTTAAGCCTTGGGTGTTTATATTTGATCTTTCATGGGCTGAAAATTGAAAATTCTGCACTTTTCAGGCTGAATTTTGGGTACTAATGGGAAAATCTGACCTCTCGGGTGTTATAATACGGTCATATTTAAGCTGAAAGTTGAGGCATGCGCATTGTTTACAGCTGATTTTTGGATACTAATGAAAAGTTCTGCATTTTGAAAAGTTATTTTTGGACTTGTAAGCTAATTTTTTGAGTGCAAAATGCAAATTTTACACTTTTTACAGCTTAAAGGTGCTGAAATAGAAAAAATCTGCAATCTTTTCTTAGTGATCAATCTAGTATTTGAGTTTAATAGATGCATATGAGCTACTCTCCATGAGCATGACATAACTAACCTTCTCATATACAATATTCTGCTTTGAAAATGCAAAAGAGTGCTAGAATCTGTTCTCAGGAACTTGACTTGAAGCTTGAAATCTGCATTTCTTTAAATCTGATTTTTTATCTCGTCAATACTAAAAGACTTGGTCTTAGTCATGTTTTGCAGTTTTTAGTTCCATCGAGCACTTTAAGGAGGGAAAAGTGATGAGTTGATACTGCGTATACTTTGTTTTTTAGTTGCATTTCCCTTTCCCCTTCTCTCTTTGCTAAGTCCGTGCTTGCTTAATATTGTCGTTTGCATACCATATAGATGCATCGAGGACTATGCACATTTTAAGTGTGAGGGGAGTTTCTCACGATTATCTTATTATTTGGGAAATCATATTTTGGGGCAAATTTTTTCTTTTCAAAATAGGTCTTGGGTCCAAATATTTTTCATTCTTAATTGCATATCTTCTTATTTAGAGCATTGTTTTTAAATGTTGACCCATAAACCTCATTATTTTTCTTGAGCTTTATTCTGAAAGTTGACAAATGTTTCTTTTACAACCCCACCTTTGATTCTTGATGCCCATTTTCTCAGTAAATGACCTTTAAGTTTGAATCCTTTTAGGTTTCCTTAGTTTTTTTTTAAAACTGGTCATCCACATATTAGAAATTGTATGTTTTTTTTAAATCTTTTAGGCTTATTTGTTAAACCTTGCTACCGTTGCCATTGAGCCTTTCTAAACTATAGGATTCCCTTAGAAAACTTTTTTGTGGCAACTTTAGAGCAATTTTTTGTAGAACCCGAATAATCCACAGTTTAGATCTTCATCTTTGTAGGATTTTATACCTCATTTTTTCCTAAAGTCTTAAATGCTATGGGCATAAAGTCTTAAGTGTGAGTGTATACAGTGCATTTTGTTTCTCTTGATGATGATTGCAATTGAAATGATTTCTTTTTGGTCTTTTGAACGAGGACGTTCAAGTCTTAAGTGTGGGGGTATTTGATAAGTCGTTTTTGGGTTAGTACTTTTTATTTAATTTTAGGCATTTTTAATATTTTTAGTCTTTAGTTTTTAGTTGTTTTAGCTTATTTTTATTTTAATTCTTATTTTTAAATTCTTTTTATTTTCTTTCAAAAATATTAGCTTTTTAATCATTTTTACATTATATTATTTTTATTTTATTTTTCCTAACCCAAATTATCAGATATCTTATTTTTGGAGAAAATTGTAGCAAAAGGCCGAATTGAAGTTCAAGTTTGAAAAGAAGAGATTGATTTTGGGCCAAAGCCCAGAACAAACATAATAGAGAATCAGCCCACCAATCATCTCACTTTGTCTTCACGCAAGAAAGAAAAAAAAGAACGGAGAATTGAAGTCTACGACTTCTTCTTCTTCGCGATAAACCAGCGCCCAGCTTCTTCAACGCTCCTCCGTCAGTTTCGCCTCAATCAATAGCAACGGCACTCTCTACTCACTCAAATCTACAACGGTATGTTGGAATGCATGAGTTCAACCCTTTCTGTGTTGTTAAGTGTTGACTCACAGGTTTTGATAATTGACAAACACAATCTATTCAAGTCAAGATCAAAGTGCTACAACGACAAACACGAAGACTTGAAGTGCCATTCCTTGAAGTACTCAAGAAGGTGCACATGATTTTATTGGAGTCCGAGACGCGTTCGAAGCGCCTAACGGAGGACTCGGAGGTGTAGAAGATTTCCGAAGACTTTTTATTTATTTGAGTCTTAGGAAATATTGTAAGGATGACAAAAATATCCTCTCTCCAAAACTATTTTTAAGAGAGTTAAAATAAAAATTATATTTATTTTTGGAGTCAGTTGAAAAATCTTTTTAACTGTTCAAAATAGTTTTATTGAGTCAGTTACAAAAAAAGTGTGTCAAACACTTATCAAATATTTATTTTGATATTATAAAATATTTTTGGTAAGCAAAAATATTTTATTCAAATATTTTTCGTGTACATCATTTGACACACAAAATAATTTTTTACTCCCTTATTCAAATACATTGAATAGGAGAGGTTTTGTTTGAGGAGCGTCTCTCATTCCTCTTGTCTGAAACAATCGCGTTAAGACATTTTTTACTTCTCATCTCGCAACAGGTTGGGGCCCTTGTGTTTGTGCATCATTTCAAATCTAATCGATTAATATTCTCACATTAATCGGTTTACCCAGTTTTGTTTAGATTAATCGATTAAATTCTCTTGATTAATCGATTAATTGAGTTTTACTTCGTGTTGAGCTTCTTTGATATAATCGATTTTTTTCTTTCCGTTAATCGATTAGTTTACTCAGACCATTCTAATCGATTAATAGCTTTGATTTAATCGATTATCTTTTTGCGCAGACTGCATTAATCGATTATTGGCACTGCATTAATCGATTATTATGCTGCATCTTTTCAGCACAGCTTCTTTTCTTGGACCAACGGATATATTCCTTCAACCCCTTTATAAACTTCACCCCTTGGTCATTTTTAGATAAGAAATACTCCAATACTCCCCATTCTTGAGGTGTTAATCCTCCATCAATCCTTCCTCAAATTTATATTATTTTGAGAGAAAATTATATTTTCAAGAGAGGTTTCTTGTCATCCATTAGAGCTTTAATCATTTCTCATTTCTACTCTTTTGAGAGTTTATGTTGAGAGGTTGAAGAAGATTGTTCTTCTTGTTGTTCAAGACTTATGTGACTTAAGTCTTGGTTGTGAAGTCTTGTAGAGGGATATCTACGAGCGGTTGTGTCGAGGCTTGTGGGATTCAAGTTCTCGAGTTGTAAACAGTTTGTTAAGCACCCGTAAGCTTAACGGAAGTAGTGGTAGCTTCGAGAGAGTCTCTCGGGGAACTGGACTAGCCACGAGGTGGTGAACCAATATACATCGGTGTGTTCTTTGCCTTCTCTCTTTTATTTCCGCTGCACTTACGTTTATTTTATTAATCCTGCGAAAATCGGTAAACATTCTCAACAACTCTATTCACCCCCCCCCCTCTAGAGTTGCACGCATTGTCTAACAATTGGTATCAAAGCAGGTATCTCTAACGCTCCTTGTGACGTTTGAGAAAACGATCAATTTTTTTTTTTTAGAATGTTGAACGCAGGGATAGGAGAAGGGCAATCCACCGTAAGGCAGCCATTTTTTGATGGAACAAATTACTCCTATTGGAAGGAGCGTATGAGAATTTTTGTTCAATCTAATAACTTCAAAATTTGGCTTGCTATCAAGAATGGAGATAGCTTGCCAATGAAGAAGATAGGCGATACACTCATCCCGAAGGACGAGGATGAATATGATGAAGCCGATCTTAAGAAGGCTCAATTAAATGCCACCGCCATCAACTTCTTGTATTGTGCTGTCAATGNGCCAACGATTATCAAAAGATATCTCGTTGCCAAACCGCCAACCAAATGTGGAACAAGCTCATGATCACATACGAAGGTACGCCTCAAGTTCGTGAATCAAAAATTGATTTACTAACCCATGAATATGAGTTATTTGCTATGAAAGAGAACGAACTTGTGGAGGACATGTTTGGAAGATTTTCAAACATCGTCAACGACCTTGATATGCTTGGAAAGACGCTCACCGACAAAGAGTTAGTGAGAAAAATCCTGCGAAGTCTTACCAAGGAATGGGAGTCAAAGGTAAACTCCATATATGAAGGCCGAGATTACAACATCATCACATACGACGGTCTTCGAGGTAACCTTATCACTTATGAAACAAATCATCTTTCTCATACTCTTGATGTAAAGAAGAAAATGGGAATTGCTTTTAAAGCATCCTCTTCTCAAAGAGTAGAGATTAATTATTCGGATAGTGATAGCGGTTCTAGTGTTGATAGTGATTCTAGCACTTCTTGTGATATTTTGGTTGAATGTTTTAACAAGTTTATGAAACATGAGCTGAAAAAGAGCAAGAAGAAAAATACCCCAAGGTGTCATAAGTGCGGAAAGCTTGGCCACCGAAAATTTGAGTGCCCGATGCTCAAGAAAATGAGCAAACAAGATGAATTTTCGTATTTTTCGTGGAGTTATGATCAACCTTCCAAAGACGATTGCCTCATCGGTCTTGAAGAACAAGATGGGTGGTCGGGCACGTGACGCACTTGAAAGGTGTGCTTGAAGACTACAAATTTGTAGTGGATGCTCCAAGCACTTAGCCAAAGAGGATGCATCAAAGGGGAGTCATTACATTTTTTTAAATGAATTTATTTGGGGAATATACATAGGATGTTTTGCATATAGTAAGGGGGAATTTATTGCTATATGTGTTAATCTTGTTGCATGCCTTTTTTAAGAGGTAGATAGCATAAATTAAGGGGGAAGTTTTTTTTTATTTCCTAGAATTGCATGATTTTAGGGGGAATGTGTTTTTTCTTAATTGTTTAGGAATTGTTTCTCTCCCCGGAATGCATGAGTTCTTTTGCTGCATTATTTTTTGATAATGCCAAAAGGGGGAAGAGTATAGGAGTATATGCTTTAATTTTTTATTTATTGGTAGCATATCCTCCATGTGTTTGTCATTATCAAAAAGGGGGAAATTGTTGGAATGCATGAGTTCAACCCTTTCTGTGTTGTTAAGTGTTGACTCACAGGTTTTGATAATTGACAAACACAATCTATTCAAGTCAAGATCAAAGTGCTACAACGACAAACACGAAGACTTGAAGTGCCATTCCTTAAAGTACTCAAGAAGGTGCACATGATTTTATTGGAGTCCGAGACGCGTTCGAAGCGCCTAACGGAGGACTCGGAGGTGTAGAAGATTTCCGAAGACTTTTTATTTATTTGAGTCTTAGGAAATATTGTAAGGATGACAAAAATATCCTCTCTCCAAAACTATTTTTAAGAGAGTTAAAATAAAAATTATATTTATTTTTGGAGTCAGTTGAAAAATCTTTTTAACTGTTCAAAATAGTTTTATTGAGTCAGTTACAAAAAAAGTGTGTCAAACACTTATCAAATATTTATTTTGATATTATAAAATATTTTTGGTAAGCAAAAATATTTTATTCAAATATTTTTCGTGTACATCATTTGACACACAAAATAATTTTTTACTCCCTTATTCAAATACATTGAATAGGAGAGGTTTTGTTTGAGGAGCGTCTCTCATTCCTCTTGTCTGAAACAATCGCGTTAAGACATTTTTTACTTCTCATCTCGCAACAGGTTGGGGCCCTTGTGTTTGTGCATCATTTCAAATCTAATCGATTAATATTCTCACATTAATCGGTTTACCCAGTCTTGTTTAGATTAATCGATTAAATTCTCTTGATTAATCGATTAATTGAGTTTTACTTCGTGTTGAGCTTCTTTGATATAATCGATTTTTTACTCAGACCATTCTAATCGATTAATAGCTTTGATTTAATCGATTATGTTTTTGCGCAGACTGCATTAATCGATTATTGGCACTGCATTAATCGATTATTATGCTGCGTCTTTTCAGCACAGCTTCTTTTCTTGGACCAACGGATATATTCCTTCAACCCCTTTATAAACTTCACCCCTTGGTCATTTTTAGATAAGAAATACTCCAATGCTCCTCATTCTTGAGGTGTTAATCCTCCATCAATCCTTCCTCAAATTTATATTATTTTGAGAGAAAATTATATTTTCAAGAGAGGTTTCTTGTCATCCATTAGAGCTTTAATCATTTCTCATTTCTACTCTTTTGAGAGTTTATGTTGAGAGGTTGAAGAAGATTGTTCTTCTTGTTGTTCAAGACTTATGTGACTTAAGTCTTGGTTGTGAAGTCTTGTAGAGGGATATCTACGAGCGGTTGTGTCGAGGCTTGTGGGATTCATGTTCTCGAGTTGTAAACGGTTTGTTAAGCACCCGTAAGCTTAACGGAAGTAGTGGTAGCTTCGAGAGAGTCTCTCGGGGAACTGGACTAGCCACGAGGTGGTGAACCAATATACATCGGTGTGTTCTTTGCCTTCTCTCTTTTATTTCCGCTGCACTTACGTTTATTTTATTAATCCTTCGAAAATCGGTAAACATTCTCAACAACTCTATTCACCCCCCCTCTAGAGTTGCACGCATTATCTAACACGGTAAACAATCCTCTTGCTATAAATTGATGATGATTAAAGCTTCAGAGAAGGAGGGGAAAACACGAGGAACAGCAACGATTGAGAGCCGCGGCTTAGGCCGTGGCGGTGGTGATGACCGGCGAGTTAGTCCGGCGTCCGGCGGCAAAATCTCCGGCCAGAGGTTTATCGGTTCCTTCAAGCTCAAATTCTTCAATTACTTCTTCTTCTTCTATAATTGGTAACCCATGTTATTTCTTCAATTTCTTCTCCAATTTCTTTGTAAAAGTGTTGTTTCAATTCAAATTTACATTTCTTTTGCTTGTTGTGTTAATTTCGAAAATTCCAAAATGGTTGGTGTTTCTTTATGGGTTTTTTTATGTTATATTAAATCCCTTATGAATGAAAATTGATTCTTACTAGTTTCTTCAATTTATGCACAAATTGATGTTAAATCGGTTGAATTATAAATTTGATTTCATAAGTAGGTTGGTATGTCGAATTTGGTTTTCATTGAAGCTAATTTAGCTCCATATTTTAGTTAAATGATTTCCAAGTTCATACGTGATTCTTCGTTGTGCTATGTGTTTTGTAAAATTTTAAGGATTATGGACTTCTTAGCCACATAAGTTGAACGTTTTCCTTAAGATTCGTTATAGAGTGATTGTTTATATCTTGGTGTTCTTGTTTGTTATTTTCATAAAAATTTTGATTGTTTAAGCGCAATAAACAACTCTTGATTTAATGAAAATATGTAATGTTTTTCTTATGTGAATAGATTAAAATTCTTATGCTTAAGTTGTTCAAGGAGACCTGCAAAATATTTTCATCATTAGACGTTAAAGTTTATTAAAGTGTATCAAATGTTCTTCATGAATACTTTGTGCATGGGAGTTAGAATGAAAGAAAGATTCGCTCTTTTATAAACTTTTTCATCTTTTGGAATCATTGTTTGAGCGCTTGAGGTGAGTGGGGGTTCAAAGTGATCCAAAAGGCCTTTGAATCTTTGACTCCGGGCTTTATAGAGAGTTGACGATCCTCTATATGTGGTCAAGGATAGCCTTTGAATTCTTTTCTATTTTTAAGTGCGTAAGTTACGTAATATATTGTCTAAGTGGCTATTATACGTGTAATGTTCAATTTGTGTTTGTTCTCTTTTTCATTTTGTTTTGGGTTCTTGGCGGTGTTTCTTGGGTTACCTTAATTGGAGAAGTTGATTATCTTTTGAGATTGTTTCCCCCATTTTATCAAAAAAACCAAAAAAATAAGAAAATATAAAAAACCAAAAAATATTTACTTTTTATTCAACCCCCCCCCCCTTTGTGTTGTGTTTCAGTTATATTATAAGTTCTTTGTTTATATAAGTTATAGTTATAAGTTTTATTATAAGTTTTATACGTCTTATCATATGTGTAGTAGTTTTTTATTTTATTTAGTGACAATGTGTTTGCATACTAAATTGGTTTTAAAAAGTAAAAACTTTCTCCGTGGGATCGACCCTTACTTGCCCTAGCTATAGTTTTTATTTGATTATATCTTGGGGGTTAGTTAAGGATATTTATAAATTTTTAATTTGTTTTGGACCCTACGACAAGTCCCCAACAGGCCAGATCCATAATTCATTTAACTATAGTTGTGCTTTGCATCTTGCCCTACAGTTAAATTATTTCTGGTAGGAATAAATTCCAATTGTAACAAGTTACAACTCTGGTTGGATGAACTGATTTTATTTATGGATCCTACCGCAGTGCCCTAAGTCTCTCATCCTTATGACCAAGACTTAGTTAAGACTAACCCGGGGCGAGTCAGTACCCTAGTTACGGGTTTCGCGCGCGCCTAACCAATGTAAACCGGGCGTCTCACTAGGGTGAGTTTGTTACCGATCTAAATTGGGTTAGACGAGTGACGGGGCGTCGGGGTGGCACAGACTTAAAATTATGAGGGACTTAATATGTAGTCTTGCATATGGCATACACTGCGCGTATGCACTAGCGAAATTCGCATACATGCATACATTCAATCATACATCACATGCATAATAACTAATAAGTAAATGTGAAATGATTGTGGCTCCTAAAGAAAAACAAACGACAGCGCCTTCATCAAGAGATCTCTATCTCCGGCCCATCACGTCTTCCTTAGGATTCTCCATCACGAACGGACTTCGTCTTTTTGTCTTCTTATAATTTTCGAGAGAAAAGAATATTGATGTAAATAAGAGAATTACATCCAAAGTATAGAGATGAGGCACGACACGCAGGCCGTATTTAAAATTATAATAAATATAACTAAGCCACAATCATCCACCATGCAATAATACATACAAGCATCACATGCATCACATCATACATATTAAAGCATACATCGGGCATATCGAGCTCGCCCCAGACCTAGTATATTCCATTCTACGGAATAAACTATCAATAATACATTAATTAAACTAGCAAGTAATTTAATTAAAAATTATAAAATACTTTAAATTTCCAGAATGTTAGAAATTTAATTTTCTTAACTCCAGAAAATAAAATATTTTATATCTACTATGTATATATATATATAGATATATATATATATATAGATATATATATATATATATATATATAGATATATATATATATATAACTTCAAAAAAGGGATTTTATTTCGAATTAAATACATATATGTTTTCTAAATTAGAAAATAATTATTGGAGACTCCAAGTAAACATTATTAATCTGGAAATACAAAAAATGCATAATGAATAAAATTTATAATTTTGAAAACTATTTTTATAGCTAGAAAACCGAAATGATATTGTGAAAATATATTTCGACATTCCAAAAATAAAAAAATTTATTTTTCAAGTCAAAACTAAGTTCCAGAACAAGAATATGATTTTTCCAAAATTTAAAATATTAAGTTTGCAATTTTAAATAATTAAAAATCGGACCGGTGAATAGTACCGATCCAATTACTTCAAAAATACAAAATAAATACTTTTACGTGCTTACAAATTATGAATAATTTTATACAAGCCTAAAAGCTTTGGTCGCAAGTTATTATGAATTAAAATTAGTTTTTGATTGTAAAAAATAATTGTTTTCTATTTTCTATTCAATAAACGAATTTAAAAATACAAAATAGGAAACTGATTCCAAAAATCGATTTTAAAATTTCTTAGTTATATTGAAATTTCAAAAACATCCCAGAAAATATAAAATTTAATTTTCATAATTATTAAGTATTTATGGCACAAATAACAAGTATTCTACACACATAAACTACTTAATAAGAATAATATAAATATACCCCAAACAGTAATTCTGAATATTACTAAATAAATTTATATTAGGTCCAGTCTCTAAATATGGCCACCTAATCAAATTTTATAATGGGATAAATTTTTGTCTCTAAAATTTATTGACTAATCTACAAAAACAATAATGGTAAAACTACTAAACTAGTAACTTCGTAAGCCGGCTCTGATACCAGTGTTGGGAAACGAGGCTTGGATAACGCAGTGGAAAACAAAAATTTAGAGTCCAAAACTCGATTCCACCCAAGAACAACTTACGTAAATTTCTAGCTATAGTAAGAAAGTTACCTTATCGGTGAAATACGGAGAACGGAGAAATGGTTGGGGATGGTTCTGAGGAGATGAACGTAGCGCCAAACGTATGAAGCCTCCAACGTATCCACACGAACTTGCCCTGGAGTCCAAGATTAAACTTGTGCTAGGGAGTAATAAATATATAGTAAATATTTATCTTATAAATATTTCTTTATAATATTTTGTGTATATTTATAATACTTTAGAAAAATAACTTTGAACACAAAATAAAATATTTTCTCTCTCTTTATTGATATGGCCGGAATTGATGTATTAAAAATGGGGATGGACACTCACATTTTATAGTGCAATGCATTATGGAATTGCTAGGAAATTACTTAGGGATAAAAACAAATTAGGATTAATGTAATGTCCCCAACCAACACAACAAGACAAATACTTTTTGCTAATCAAAAAATATTTGATTATACCAATCAAATATATCATTAGGTAGAAAATCAAATTATGTTTTGTATTTTCCCTTTGAAATCTTCAGCCATCCCTTATTAAAATACATTACATTTTATTTTGACATCAATAATTATCATATAATTAAAATGATGAAAAATAAAATTTTATATATATATATATATATATATAGGGATTGACTCTAGTGAAATGACACCTTCTAGTGAGATGACATGCTTCGGTGAGATGACACAAAGCTCACCACATTACACTGCAAAGCTCACCAAGGACCAATGTAAAACTCACATGGAAATAAAGCAAAGCTCACCACTTTGAACACCAAAACTCACCTTTTTTTAATTTTGTAGATTAAAAAAATAATTAAAAATAAAATAGCAACACCAGTCAACCACCGGTTAGCGGCGGCGGCCACCGGCGGCTGGAGGTGGTGGTCGGAGGCAGCGGCAATGGTCGGAGGCGGCAGTGGTCGGAGGTAGCGGTGGTCGGCGGTCGGAGGCGGCAGCGATCAGCGGCCGAAGGTCGGCGGCGGAGGTCGGTGGCCTGGTCGGCCGGCGGTGGCCGGTTATGGTCAACGGTCAATGGTTAAAGTCTAGTCAACACCCCTTCCTTTGAATTTAGTGTTGAAAAAATATGGTGAGCTTTGCCTAATAGTTTGGTGAGCTTTGTAATTGTCTTTGGTGAGCTTTGCAGTGGCCAGTGGTAAACTTTGCGTCATCTAACCGGAGAATTTCATCTCACCGTAAGGTGTCATGTCACTGGAGTCAATCCCATATATATATATATATATATATATATATATATATATATATATATATATATATATATATATATATATATATATATAAAGTGTGTGACCCATTAGGTATCCATAACACTGGCAATGATATTAATGTAAATTAATACCATAGATAATAAGCGGTATCTAGCAACACATTATTACCCCTTGATTATGAAAAAGACGTTCATCTCATCAATATCTTCTACGACACAATACGTTCTATAACTATTATCCTTATGTCCTAAATGTCATGATTTAACACAAGGCATGGGATCGGATGTGTATCCTTGTATATTTAAATCAGCTGTTACTGAATCTCAAGTAGACTGACAGGGATTAGATATTTATCAGTCTCTGGATAGCGACATATCTCGGCATGGCCATACACTTTCCCAAGTCCTACTATTCAGTGGGCACATTGACATTATACTTCTATACAGTAGAAGGGACAGATCATATATTTGTCATTCACATCTTTAAATATGCTTAGCAGCATACCCAACACATAACTGTACGTCTATCAGTAATTCAGATAGCAATATATAGTTACGAATCAAAGCATACGGCCCCACATATCAGAGAATGTAATAACTTCAAGTCTGAGGAGAGTTATAGCAAGGTCGAACTGAGAATACTGATAAACATATTACTGTAGATCCATGCAATATTCTCAAGATGGGTCAATCCAGTCACATATTATCGATATAATATGCACCTACGTACTGATTCAGATATCACAATACTTATAGTCTATGAGACACAACTATCTCATCTCGTACGTACTAGTCTTGATACGTTAAGACGTCCGTATTATCATAAAGTGCGACTAGGGATTTTCTAGACATAGCCTTCGTTAAGAAGTAACAGTCTCATAATAAAAACATCATAGTCCTCATCTATGTTACTGAAGCACTATCGTCTATGGACTGAAGCTATGTTATGTTACACGAGATATAAAACATATTTCAAGGCCTTTCATTAATGATAAAGTGTACAGTTACATAGGTATTTGATTGCCGCTAGGGCATCTAAATACATGTACCAGCTTCTGGTAGTCAGATATCGCTACATGACCAAAATAGTTTACCAAAGATCATCTGGTATCGGTAGTCGACAACCATTAGGCGGTACCTAGGTACCGTGTGATGGTAGGTGTTGGGAAAAATATTATAGATTTTGATGATGATGTATTTAGAATGTAATGGGGACTTTAGGTCTCCCAAAACATTCAATGTAATTTTTCTTTTTAGAAATATTGTTAAAACCGAGTTCTTGAGATTTCCAATAAAGT